ATCTGTAAATAATTAAGATGGGTTAGAATTGGCGTCGGCAACCTTTTGCTGACTCGACTTAGGATTTTAAAATCATTCTGTGAGCTAACAGTATACGTATTTTTAAACAAGTCAAAGTAAATATACCTGTTCTACAATATATATTATATAGTAATATTTAGTATATATACTTTAGTATATATTAAAATTGAAACAGCTAAATATATTCTTTGCGTTGTAGTAGTTATTGGTTCGGACTTTGTGGTGTCATTTGCGGCTGCGTGCCATTGAATATTGCTTAGCGTGCCACGTGTGGCACGCTTGCTGTAGGTGGCAGATCCCTGGTCTAGGTACCAAAGAGAAAAGTTCATCAGAACAATCACCATGAAAGAATTCATAGAAAATGCACAAGGAAGCGACATAACAGCGGTGGGAACATGCCTGATGTTGGGATGCCAGTCAGAACCAATAACATTGCAGAATCTTTGAATTTTATCAACAATATCTAAATATATAGCAGGAGAGCCAGATCATATACAGCTAGCATAACCCATAATTATGGAAGAGAGAAAAGAGTTTTAGTGTGAAATGGCTGTAATCCTGCAAATAATTCAGTGTGCCAACAGCATATGTATTTCTATACAAGTCAAGGTCAATAGAACTGTTCTAAAATATGTTTTATATAGTAATATATACAGTAATATGTAAACCAAATTAATAGAAATAAACTATTTTTAAAAGATTTTTTTTAAAGTTTTTATTATTAATGGGAGTCCAACGAGTGAGCAGTTTTGGAAGAGTTAAATATCTTCTTTGCGTTGTAGTAGTTATTGGTTAGTTCTTCGTGATGTCTTTTGCGGTTTTGTGCCATTTAATACTGTTTGGCGGGGCTTATGTGGCACGTGTGACGCAGATTGCCAACTCCTGAGTGAGAGTAAATATTCCCCCCAATAACACATATTCACTGGTCGATTACATGATCTTAAGCAGTTGTTCTTGTCTCCTAGGGTCTGATGCAATATGCATGTCGGTTTATGAGCAGGAATTTTGATGTGTCGAGACTAATGTTTTTTTTTTTAATTTTTGAGCCACTCCTGAATATTTGGAAGCGATCTCAATAGAATATAGTCTTAGCAGCCTGGATTACTCAATCTCATCTGCAACGTCATGTACTACATTTATCGGAAGTTTTCACCGTATTGCTGTGATATATGAGTCCGGTATATCCCTAAAACCTTGCGTCTCACAACAGATTTACTGGGCTTAGTTTCTTTGTACCCAGGCTCATTTTTTGTGGGGGGGTGCTGCTCTCTCACTCTCTAATAATAATAGTATAGCTGGTCACTCGTATTCGAGCATACCCGTCGACAAGCCAATCCCTATTGCAGACGGTTTCTCAGGCGCATTTTTGTTTATTGACGACCCACAGAGCTCACCTGTGGTTTATACTGCAACTATGCTGAGCAAACCTTAGTTACAGTTTCAGGTAAAGAGCGTGTTATCTAGCGTGATCAACAATTTGAACAAGCCCAGCACGCTCAAGCACTCGGTCACTATGCTAGCACTTCTATCGTCAGCCTCCCAAAGGGTTCCGTCTACCCAATTTTACTCACATGGCTTAGGTCATTTTCCAGAGATGCCGCACGCTGGGATCGACCCCTCCAGTCCGATAACACCAGGACGTCTCCTTCCTGTCAAATCGACCATTATGAAATTCGAACCGGGGTCTCATGATCAGAGTGCGAACGTTCTAACCACTCGGCCACGTGCGCATAATAATAGTAATTAGTCGTTTACTTACAAAGATTTATTCGGCATTCATTGACTAAGCAGCCAGTACTACTATCCGTTTTATTTTAATCAAATTTTTTCCTAAAATTATGTTTCATGAAACTAAGTTTTCCGGTTTAGGAGCTGTTACGGTTAATTTGCAGTGTACACCCGCGCTCAGCCGGCATTAAAAATTTCCAAAATGCTTACATTTATGTGTAATTGTACATGCTCCATTCGTATCTGGCTTGATAAATATGATAAATTATACCGTTTTGGAGTTATCGACAGTAAAAGTTCGGATTCATTTGCGTCGTTGGCGGCAGTCATTACTGGCGTTGTTTGCATACATTCGCTGCGGAAAGGTAAACGCGGAAGACTACGGAAAGCTAAGTGCGGAACTAATTTTTCTTGTCTAAATTTGTCTCAATTACTGCTCACAAGAACTATTTATGTAGACACGCTCAGTTTGCGTAATAATACCTACATTGATAGCTATCCTGCTTAATGTCTTGGTTTTGTATCCATTTTTGTAATCTATTCCTAGGGCAGCCTATTCTATGTTCTTATTTCCATATCTTCTATACTAAATTTGTTAATTTCTTATCCATACAATCAGTTATTTGAAGTGCTTATAATTTATTAATTATCCAGAAATTTTTTGATGGATTCGGGGTAGGTACCATCAATGCTTTCATTCCAATTCCAGACTATAGTTTCTGTTTTGGAAAGGTTATTCTTGCGGTGGATTTCTTGCCAACGTGGGGTGGGGAATGTTAATTTAATAATACTACTTCTAATAATAATGATTAACATGAATGGAAATGGGATAGTTGTAAGTATAATGTGAATCGTATGCGTTTTCTATATATATATATATATATATATATATATATATATATATATATATATATATATATATATATGTGTGTGTGTGTGTGTGTGTGTGTGTGTGTGTGTGTATATATATATATATATATATAATGGAGGCACGGTGTATAAGGGATAACAGCTTGGATTGAGGAATCGGAGATTGAGTATGAATTCAGTCGAATCCATTACATTCACTTACGTGCTAATACACTTGGGGAAGGTATTAATCCTCTTCTCCTTCCAGCAGTGGGTAAATAGCAGGACAAAACTGGGTTCTATAGCATTGGATGGCAACTGGTCTTGAGAAGGACAACTCTGAATTCAAAACCTGCTGAGGGTCGTTTGGGGACCTTGTGCCACGTAGTGCACCAAGTCTCTGTATTCGGCCCTTCAAAAAGTGTGGATGGTTCTGCACGAAACCTTCACCACTATAATCAAATCACATGTGCTTTTGTCGGGTTGTCAGTTCCTTGGAATTGATCTGCTTAACCCAAATACGCCGAATTCGACGTGAGAGTCGAGCACACACACACACACATATATATATATATATATATATATATATATATATATATATATATATATATATATATATATATATGAAATATGTGGTGCAGTTCAATTTATATTACAATGAATCAATCATACAATAAGACATTTAAAAAAAATATTTCGATTCGTATTATATTTTTCATCTCGGATGCTACCTTAATTTTACCAAAACCAAAATAATTTCCATGCCTGAAGATTAATAAATGTCCAGTCAAAAGTACTTGCGTATTAAAGAAAGACTTAATACCAGACATAATTTTCAAAAACAAGGATCATAACATTCATCGAGTGATTTGTAGGTTGATGCACCTTTAAAATTTTGTTAGCGATGGGATTTCGCCATTTTATATCATTAACTTTACTAATCTACTTTTTGTATCCATGATTCATTGTAACAGATATATATATATATATATATATATATATATATATCCGTGAAGGAAACAAATCGTTACCTATCACTTCAAGCAGAGCGCGTGGCAGTGTTTGCGTTTCCTTGCATTTTTATGGAAGAGCGTACATTGAACCGGAAGTTATCCTGGATTGTGCTATAAATTGCCAAGAAGAATCGTATTGCGTGATTGGGAAGATGGAGAAAATAATAGGTAAATAAGTAAACGCCTAATCACTATCTGCTGGGTCACTGCGGAGATGAGGTATGATGTTGAAAAACCTGAAATCACTAATGAACCTCGGTTAGAAACATCACTGATGTTGTTGTCCAATGCATCCTATAGATGCAGTTTACGTACTACTACTACTAGTAGTAGTAATAATAATAATAATAATAATAATAATGAATTAAATAACAAATTTCATAATTGTAATATAACCGAGGATTTTTAAGAGGAATTGACAAAATTCTCAATAAACATAATAAAATGAAGAATAGAAAGAAGAGTAAATCAAATGCAAAATCAACTATAAGACAGTAACAGAGTAAAATATTCACCAAATAGATACCGTGCCGCTAAACAAAAACAACCAACTAAGATAAAGAAAGCATACATAATATGAAAGATACGATAATACTCTCTTGCGTTTACCGTCTGCGTCAGTGAAATTTGTGATCATTTCTTTTGTTTTTATATTTCTACTCCAGTGTCAATTTTTTTTTAAATCTGTTCATTTGTACCCTCTTACGCCTTTCAATGACGACTAACATTCACATTTATGATTGCTATTGCAATATTATGTTAAATTTGTTGAGCTCCAATATTTAACAATGCAACAGCGGAAATTTCCACGGCTAATTCATAGTCGGGGGGATCCATAAGCCGATAATTCAATCATTAAATTACGAATTATGATTCTCCTGATAACCCAAATAGGAAAACCATGAAATCTTTGCGGTTACTGCTAAAAAAACAACAGCAACAAAAACAACAACAACAAAAACAACAACAATAATAATAATAATAAAAATAATAATAATAATAATAATAATAATAATAAGAAGAAGAAGAAGAAGAAGAAGAAGAATGATGATAATAATAATAGTAATAGTAATAATAATTCTATTATTCTCGTTATTATTTCTTTTTCGTTGAACGCATTGTCATTTTCCTTTTGGTGCACAACAGGCATTATCTATTTTAATTATTGTAACTGGCGTTCTTGCGAATATAATTAGCATCCTGTTTCGCATGATTATCTTTTGCTGCTGGTGTTGCTACTCGTACTCCTCTTCTGACAGACTGCAATCCGCCATTACTAACTTTTAATTTCGTCGTCCCTGCATTCCCGCGGTGTTATTGCATTATATTTGTCATATCTTCTTTGTATTAGCCCGGCCGCCCACTGGGTGACATTTTCATCTCGTGCAGATGAAGACTCCGTCGTCACTGTCTGCGTCACAATTGCCAATATCAATGTCTCCAATGAAAGACATTTTGTGTTATTCCGGCAAGTGTCTAGTACATGGATTCGATATTCTTTTTTTTTTCTCTCTCTCCCTCTCTTTTTTTCCTCAGAATTCTCTGCGAACACTTTTCTTTACTTTTTCTTTCTCTCACATTTTTTCGTTTCTTTTTTATTTATTTATTTTTATTTTTTTTTCATTTTCTTTCTTCAAAACTTTCTGCATTTTCTTTCATTTATTTTTTTATTGTGTTTTCGTATCTTTGATATTTCTTTTATTCAGTCATTACGCGATTTTTATTTTTATTGAAATTTCTAGGGAAAATGGAAATTGTTACTACTATATATTGACATTTTTTTGCCAGTTTCTTTGGATTTATGTGGATATAACTTCTCAGCAAATGTAAAAAAAAAAAAAGTGAACCGTATATTTTTCCGTAGGTAGAGTAAGAATATATCGTTAAACATTCTCGAAATGCAAGCTTCTGCGGTAGTCAGCTGAGAATGGCCGGAGATTAAATCGGCTGATAAATTGGGAAAAGTAACTGAGACAAGTAAATCGAATTTAATAAATCGTTAATAACGAATGTTTTTATCCAATCTGTGTTTCGTTTTCTCTTTCTTCCTTTTTTATTTCTTTTTTTTATTCCGGCTTCTGTTTGTTTTTTTTTGTTTTTTTGTTGTTTTTTTATTCGCTTTCTTTCTTTCTCTTTTTTATTTCTGATTTCTTTTTTTTTTTTTTTTTTTTTTTTTTTTTTTTCAGAATTCATAAAGTCATTTTATTTATTCTTCTAAATTTGATGGTTTGTTTAGATTTATCATCTTCATCTGCTTATTTATAAACGCTGTTTTTTTTTTAAATTTCGATAGTGTTTTTTTATCGTTTTTAATTCAAGGAAGTTTTTACTAACCGAAGAAATATTTAATACCTACATAGACAGTTGGTCGCTGCTATTCGATTATGAGTAACCCCAAGGCTTGACTGATCTTCAAATAAAGGCAACGCAGATGTGGCTTTTCCAAACGGGAAACAAATATTAGGAAAAAGGAAATTTATATTAGATACAAAGAAAAGTTACTTGACGCTTATGCAATATCAGATTTTTTTTTCGGTGTTGAGATCAACGGATTCTAATAATAATATGGTGGTTGGACATAGATGAAGAAAGGACTTGAAGAAGCAGATATGTGGTTTAGAGAAGGATGCTGAGTTGGGAAAAAATAGCACGTATAGTTAAAATCAGAAAGAAGAAGTCGATATTTCTACGACATAATGAGAAAAGTGGGTCTGGAGAATCTGGCACTCACAGGACATATTGAAGAGAAGGGGAACAGAAGAAAGCGACAAGTAACGTACCTAACGAGCTTTGTATAAAAGGGTGAGAGAACAGGGAGTGGAAATGATAACGAAAAAACAAACATTAATAAGAGCTACAAAGTAGAGGAAATTATAGAGAAACATGATCGCTTACATCCTGAAAGGGACACGGGAAATAGAATAATTGTTATAGTGGAACACACCTATTCTATAGTTGATAGACTCTCCCACCTATAATAAGTAGGAGTAGTAAGAGTAACAAGTCAGTCGCTGAGTCGCTCAGTGGTTCGGTCTGAGTTCACTCTGAAGTCGGACGATCGGCTGACCAGTTGAACTCTCAGCCTTCGGGCGGGGAGAAAACCGAACGAGGCTACGCCGAAGGGCGGATTCTCTTTCGGGGAGGTAAACCGACCCTGAACCCGTTTATACGGGTTCAATGGGCATATTTTTGGCCGGGCCCACGGGCTCGGAGATCCCACGTTAAACCAGCCTTGTGCCACATGATGCCCTCGTGATGGGGGTGACTAAATATAGTCGCTAAGTCGCGCAGTGTGTTGGTCAGTCAGTCGATGCCGGACGACCGTTAGTCGGATACTAAAGTATCAGCGACCACAACTAGATTTCTCTGCGTCATTACCTATTATATTAAGTTCCTAACGTTTTGTACGTCGAACATATTTTAGGAGCGACTTAGTACAAATACAAGCCTCCACTGTGAAACCACTTCATAACAATAATAATAATAATAAGAAGAAGAAGAAGAAGAAGAAGAAGAAGTACAATTTTGGATGTCTCTTGCAGTTTGCGGTACAGTAAAAATTTTATTTAATTTTCACTAGTGTTCATTGAGGCATTTGCCTTTTTTGAGTCCCGTCACATGATGCAACACATGAAAAGATGTTACAAATGTAAGCAATATCTGGGCGTGAAATTCTTTTTGTTTTTGTTTTTAACAAGTGCTGAAAGGTTTTACACTAAGCCACTCACACTCTCTAATTTCGAATGCATTTATACAAAAAGAACTGATCTTTATCATTGCTTGATGAGACCGAAACTTTTTATTAGCATTTTTCGATTGTTAAACTCTGTCCCGGTTTTTGTTTCCTTGTTAGCTACGATCTATAAAATCTGAAATGTAACGTCAATCGTCAAATTCCGTCTTTCTATTCAAACTATTGTCCTCATCTTTGTTGCCATATTTATCACAGCGTTTCGGCCGTTGTACGCTCCGGTCTTTTAAAGTGGTTGTAATGTCGGACGGAACCCTTTATTTCGCTCACTGAGGTAAACTGTTCTAGTTCCACGTGCCATCTCTACTGGATGTCAGTTATCTCTTGTTAATTCACCTCTTCAAGTTCTCCACTGCCCTAAACCAAGTATTGAACACAACTCTTTGGGCCCTATCAACGCCTTTATCCACTGAGGCATGTGTCCTTAAGGAATTAATATGAGAAAAATGATAACTTATTACTGACATCCATTAGATCGGATTATTTGTCGTATTATTTTATATATATATATATATATATATATATATATATATAATGATTTTGATAATGCTACAGAGTTTATGGACAGAAAAAATACTTATATGAAAACAAGAAAAAGAAATAAAAGCTTAATCGCAGTATCTTGTCTGTTATCTTAAATAAAACTTGTATATATATATATATATATATATATATATATATATATATATATATATATATATATATATATATATATATATATAAAGAAGTATAGTTTTAAGGTGTGCTATATTTATGGGATAAAGTTCTCAATATTAGAGATAGAGCATATGAAAATATAAATATAAAAGTGAACATTGAAGTCAAGCCTCAAATGCGACAGGCTGTTTCATGCTAGACGCAAACGTAAAGGCTGACACACACACACACACACACACACACACACACACACACATATATATATATATATATATATATATATATATATATTCGACTCTCCTATCGTATTCGATGTATGAGGGTCAAGCAGCTCAATTCCTAAGAACCACCAACGTGATATCAACCGTTGTGATTTGATTATAGGGGATTGATTTGTGCCAAACGATCCACACTTTTTGAAGGGCTGAATAGAGAGAGCTGTTGCACTACGTCCCATCATATATATATATATATATATATATATATATATATATATATATATATATATTTATTCACCTAATAAAAGATAAAACAGTTATTGAAGGTAAATGTAAATGTGCTGTATAAGCCTAAGAAAACGCAATGTGTGTGTTTCATGATTTTATGTAGGATAGATAACGTTTAGATTATCTGCAATAACAATTTACATTGTTATATAATATGTGACTTTTATGCTGTTACACTCTTCTGGTCAGGTGACTTCCTGTAACACCATGTGACATCGATTCCACAAATGACCGGAAGTGACTCTAAAACTAAGAAGAGCCATGCGCAGACAAATTTAAGTTAAAATTTGAGAGAAAACCAACTTTCCGTCTACGTTGCTTTTCTCACAAATTTAAACTTAAATTTCTCTAGGTTTTCATTTTATGATTCATTTAGAGCGCTTTACTTAGATTTAACTCTTACTAGAGAAGTATTCCATTTCGTCAAGATTTGTCAGTGTACTGCAATTAAGCTATGATAATTGCCCGAAAGGAAAGCTTATCGCGTATTTATATGATGGGATGAAGAGGTCGGTTCGCACGCATGATTCTAAAGCAACAAATATCCGGCAGTTCTAGGCAGCTCTCGAGACCGCATGACTCTACTTCGTTCCAAAGGTCTCCCGATCGGCTGTGGAATATATTCCAGGTCGAGTTACAGCAAGTCACCGGATCAGAAGGGGCCCAACACCAAAAGAGTCACCTATTATATGACAATGTAAATTGTTATTCCAGATAACCTAACCGTCACCTTTCCTACATGAACATCATGAAATTCATATCCTGCCTTCTCCTCAGCTTCTACAACAGATGTACCTTTACATTGAGTGAATCTTTCTGTGTTTATTGGGTGAAAATAAATATATATATATATATATATATATATATATATATATATATATATATATATATATATATATATATATATATATATATATATATATATATATATACACACACACACGCAGGCATACATACGACACACACACACACACACACACACACACACACACATATATATATATATATATATATATATATATATATATATATATATATACATTTGTTTAATTAAAGGCGACTGGCAAGTTACTGCGATTAACCTTTTTATTTAATTGTTCTTGTGTTGGTATAAGTGTTTTCTTTTCTGGAAATAAAGTATGTAAAAATTGTTCAAACGTTCGATATATCCGAGCGATTTCATCTATTCTGTAAACCATAAGCAAGGATAAGTTTTTTAAACTGAATGTGTAAATTTTAACATAGGTTTCTAGACTGATGTCAAATGTATTTTCCAAACACGATCAGCACAGTGTGACGGTGTTCATTTTTGGTTTATCGAGTGTTGCCATTTTTTCTTTTTTTATTATTAGGTCTTCCAATATTCTTAGCCGTTTTTTTTTACATCTGGATAAGTCTGTTATATTGTAATTTCTACAAGTATATCCCAGATGGAGCTTGGTAGGTTTCCGTGTGTGAGCCCTAACTGAACTATAGTCAAAGCGGTGTAAATAAAAAAATATACTATAAATTCCTTCCTACTTGTTGTTTGGTAGTTTGCTGGATATCCGCATCTCGGCTTCATTATTCTAAGAACTCTGGTGAACCGTCTGATCCTTGGAGCTACCAATATTTGGAAATGTACTAGAGGCTCACATCAACTCTGAACGTGTCAAAACATCTCACCTCACGAGGTCATTTTGCAGAAAAACAATATGTCTTTCGCTTGTCTAGGCCAACGGCTAATATGTTAACAGTTATTCCTGAAAGGGTCTCTCAATCTTTAGATAATTATGACGATGCTTTGGACTGTGGCTTTAATCATCTCGAAGACGTTCTGACCTTGTTCTCAAGCCAAAGTTTTATGGTGTTTCTGGTCAGAATTTGATTTTATTCAATTTTTCTTAACAAATCCCGTAAATCCTCCAATGCCATCTTCAATCATCACTCTTCTGGATCATTTACCATTAAAGTGGAAACAAATGTAGTGTCACTGACAAAACTAACCTGGCCGTGCGGCTCGAAAAGAACCTCCAATCGGTTGTGAACTGGGTCAAGAATTGGCTGGTCAACTTTAATGCTTCAAAAACAAATCTGCTCTCTATTAATCACCACAGAGATCCTTTTCTGCACCCCCATTAGAATGTCTGACGTTCAACTTCTCGAGAGCACTTCTCTGCGGCTGTTCGGTCTCACATTGACGGCTGACCTGAGATGGAACAAATACATTGAGTCAATTGATTCGTCCACCGCAAGGAAAGTTGGCTCCCTGTGCCGCGCCAGGAAATTTTTCTCCCCGGAATCGGTCCTCCAGATCTACAAATCAACAATTCGCCCTTGCATGGAGTATTGCTGCCATATATGGTCTGGAGCCCCTTCTGTTTTCCTCGGGGTTCTTGATAGACACAAGAGACGGATATGCAATATAATTGGCCCTGCTCTGGCATCTCGTCTACAGTCACTTTCTCACAGACGCGCCGTCGCCTCTCTCTGTCTGTTTTACAAATACTTTCATGGCAATTGCTCCGAGGAGCTGCATTCGCTGGTTCCCAGACTTCATGAGTTCAAGCGCCCTACGAGGCTGGCATCCCGCTCTCACCCCTTCACTGCCGAAACTCCTAAATGTAGCCGTATCTTATACTCTAATAGCTTCATGTCTCGCACCTCTCGCCTGTGGAACTCCCTTCTCTATTCCACTTTCTCTGAGAGCTATAATCTCCAGCTATTCAAATGTAATGTCAATCGACATCTCCAGTTGCCTTGATCTATCCACTAGCCTTCTCCTCATCCTTTCTTCTATCACTCCTATCTGATCTTGCTCCAAATTTTCTATAACCTCTTGCGTCCTAGTGGCTTCACGCCTTGCTTGGGGTGAAACGCTTAAAAAAAGTGTTCCCAGAGCTCTATACTTGGATCTAATTTTTGTTTTATTTCCATCAACGACCTTCCCGGTGTAATCAGTTCCAGATTTCGTATCTATGGTAATGATACAACTATTTCTTGTCTTAATATGTTCGAACAGGTCAAATTGGCAGCTACATTTCAATCTCTTCTTGACCATTTTAACGCCGCGAAAAAAAAACTGTTGTTTTTAATACTCTTAGAGAAACATTTTTTGACTGTCATCCGCATGGCTTATTGCTAAACTGGAGGAGAGTGCCCCTTCTCGGTCCCATGTTTCCCACTGACACGAAGTGGAACGATTATAGTGAAGCATTTGTTAGGCTTGAAGCTGGGAGGTTCGATTGACTGTGTCGTGCTTGGCAATATTTTTCGTCGGAATCCATCTTGCACATTTATAAGTCTACCATTCTTTCGTGCATTGACTATTACTGTCGCGTGTGGTTCTGATGCTTCTGCTACATATCTAGAGACTCTTGACAAGATTCACAGAAGAACCTGAAGATTCTTCTGTCCCGCCATGGAATCTAGTCTTCAGAGACTTCTTAAAAACCGTAACGTAGCTTTCATGTGCATTTTCTATAAATATATTCACGATACCCGTTCTGATGAGCTTTCTTCTTTCGTTCGTCAACGTCATGAATTTAAGCGCGGTACTAGATTGGTGGCTAGGTCTCATAATTTTATTTTTGAATTTTCTACATATAACCTAAGTTATGTGATTATAATTACTGTCTTTCAATTCCATTTCTCGCTTGCATAATTTGTTTCCAATTTCTTGCTTTCGTGACAACAAACGACCTTAATGTTAATCTTCTTATTCTATCTCCTTGAATTCCGTTCTTTTATTGTCCTTTCTGTTGGTTTCAGTAATACCTTGTATCTTAGAGGCTTTCTCGACTTCCTTTTCCCTTCTCCCTCCATGGACATTGTTCTTTTAATGTCCTCTCTGTTTGATTCGGCAATACCTTATATCTTAGTGGTTCTTCTTGACTTGCTTGGAGCTGAAATATTTAAAATTTTAAAAGTCTTATACCAATCACACACACACGCGCGCACCACACACACACGTGTGTGTGTGTGTGTGTGTGTGTGTGTGTGTGTGTGTGTGTGTGTGTTACATACTCTCACACACACATATATATATATATATATATATATATATATATATATATATATATATATATATATATGATTCCCTGTTACGGTTTTTTGTGTATATACTGTGACTAGTGAGCGAGTCAGAATGACTTATTTCCCTTTATAGTCTACCAATAGAAGATTAACCAATCAGAAGCCGCAGAACACTCTATCCGTCGTTTATAAAGGCGGCCATCTTTATTTTACCTACCGGAATGACCAGAGCCAACTTCTCAGGCGAACATGACAGACGGAAGAACTACGCTCTGCTACTTTGTGCGATATCCACTGCGAACCTGCACTACGCTTTCCTACTGTGTCCGAAATATTCACTGCCAACCTCTGGATTCTCTACTCGAGGACGACCGTCATGAAAATGTCTAACATCCCCTCCTGATGAGACGTTTTGTAAAAGGTTTTCCTTTTTTTGACGTTGAAACAAAAATGAACAATTTTGTAGTGGATATGTGCATGTTCTAATGCAACACTGCATAAGAAATAAATATTTATGGCCCTACTTTGTTCATTGAGCACTGTTTTTAAATTAATCTTTTGAACGTTGTAATCTTTTTTCGTTCTTCTACACTTTGATATATATATATATATGTGTGTGTGTGTGTGTGTGTGCGTGTGTATGTGTGTATTCCTTAAATGAATAACAAAAACAAAAAAAATACATTTCGTCCCCTAGTGAAGAAATAGTCTCCTCTTTCGTCCCCAGATCGAAGTAATGTTCTTATTGTTGGAATTTAGTTCGTTAAAAACAAACAAAAGAGTACTGAACTGTTAAGTAATAACCATCCACGTATACGGTTATTAATGCTGGGAAATAACCTCAGAAACAAAGTGGAGACTTGAAGCAACAGAAATGTGATTCTACTGAAGGTTTCTGAGAATATCATGTATAACGTAGCCGGCTGGAATTGGAACTCGAACCTCCTTATTCCCAAAACTGAGCCGATGTCAATTACAATACCCGCACATACAAGCTTGCAACACAAGGTATTTCCAAGTGATCACCCTAGGTACTGACAAGGCTCGACGTTGCTTAACTTCGTTGATTGTATGAGAACCGGTGCTTTTTAAAACACTATTGTACTCTCTTTTGGGCAATAAAAAAATACATAATTACACTACAAACTTAATAAGAAAATCATGAATAATTAATCATAGCTAAGCATCGGAAGCTCATGAAGGATTGAAATAAAGTTCAAATATATACATTATTTCAGGATTATTTTCCAACTTAGTCATGATGATCTTCGCCCCCTCTAACTTTTTAACTTTCTGTCCTAGAGTAAAAAGGTGCCTCACAGGTTTTACGTACTATTTCATTTACAAGTCTTTTTTCGTTGCTGTTTAGATTGTCATAGCTGAAACGTGACATTGCCGAAAGCCATAACATCTTACGTGCCAAACGTATTATGGATTGACATGGATATTTTATATTTGAAATCTTTAGCTCTAAATTGTAATGATGACCTCTGTGGGGCTGATGCAAAACGATTTAAATCTGTTTTCTTTCTAGCTGAATACCTCAAAGGGTTTTTCCAGTGATTCTTACAATAAATGATATCAAGATGGCTAAACGTTTCATCTGAAAACCTGTAAAAAACAAACTCAATACGTTTAGTGTTTTTTTTTTTTTTTTTTGGTGGGATGGAATTTCCTGTTAGACCCGGTATATGGTATAACGATATATATATATATATATATATATATATATATATATATATATATATATATAGATAGATATATATAAAGAACAATTTTATGAGAAAGAAGCATAACAATGTGATAAAACTTTTAGTGTGACGCGTCCTTTAGACCGATGATGTCCTACAGGACATAACTCGTCACCTGAACACTTTTCCATTTTGTTATACTTCTTTCACTTAATACATACATATATATGTATATATATATATATATATATATATATATATATATATATATATATATATATATATATATATATATATGCACACACACACACACACACACACACACACACATATATATATATATATATATATATATATATATATATATATATATATATATATATATATGCAAAGACGCTTTGCTCTTAGTTTTTGGTATACGAATGCCTGTAGGATTATTTTGAAGGTTCATGTCTGTCAGTCTTTTTCTTCATTAATTTCTTCTTGACAGTCGGCGAGATAGACAGAAATAATTGGAAAGGATTTGATTCTAAGTGAACGCCCGCCTGTCTGGAATAGCATGTCAAACATTCCCCAGACAAGATCTGATTTTATTGTAAACCAAACTTTTACAATTTCTTATTTATGGAGAAACCGAGAAAGAACTTGTTAAAAATAAAATGCAAATCCTTCTCTAAGAAACAAGTAATAAAATGTAGTCTTTCTTTTTTTTATTATATAAATCTTGCTAAATCATAAATTCAGCTTTACCTTGATAAAAGCCGTTACAGAAATGGTTTGAGTGTGAACTGAAGATAAATACAAAATAATAAAACAATCCGAAGGTGTACTGGGATAGAGAAAGATGCCTTTCGAAACTTAAGCATGGTATTAAGAAACAGAAGAAAAAAAAGGATTCATTGAAAAGGAAGGAAAGTACTGAATTTTTATGTAATATCAGTCCTCCAAGATGGCTGTGAATGCTGGACTGTCTTCTCACAGTGGAAGAAGAGGATTTGAAGCAACAAAAATGTGTATCTACAGAAGAATGCTGGAAATACCACGTCACGTGGGCAATGTTGTGAAAACGTATTCCTAAAATTTGAGTATTTTGAATGAAAAACGAAAAGAATTTTATTTTGATCTAAAACTTATATGTACGTTAGTCGAGCATTAATCTTGCTTGAAAAGGGGAAATATTAAAGAAGCCAGGTCTAGTGTTCACCGTGCGTGAGATAGATATTATGCCTGCTTCATAAATCCGCCTAAGATTTTTATCATGAAAATATTTTAAAATACGTTTTCACAACATCGCCCACGTGACGACGACGTGATCATATTTAAACGGAACGCTGATCTTATAAAAGATTTCAGTTATCTGTTTGGATTGGTCTTGCTCTTATGTCCATCGTCTTTTTCATGTTGAATTGAATATAGTCTATGTTAATTATGTTTTATGAATATGTCCTGAAGATGGTCTATTAGACCGAAACGTCCGACGTTGACATTATATTAACATTAAAACAGCATAATTGCATATTAGGATTTTTGTTTGTTTTTTCCGTATATTTTTCTTCATACTGTCGGATCTATATCCATATATTTGCTTACATACATACATACATACATATATATATATATATATATATATATATATATATATATATATATATATATATATATATGGGGGTTTTGTATCGAGGTGTTTATATGTACGACAATCTTGAGCTCATTAGATATGCAGAGGTGAGAATGTTAATATCAGGCAAAGAAAAGAAACTACGAGGGAGACCTATAGAAATTAGGGGAAGAAAATCGTGTTAGAAACTGGAGATTGGCTGAGGCTACCATGGATTGAACATGTGAGAAACGACGGAAATTTAGAAACAAAAAGAAACTCATATTTAACATCAGGAGACAGTTGAAATTTTTAAGGCACATTTTAGAGAACTAAATCGAGTTACAAACTGGAGATAACAAAATCACATAAATACAAAAATTAAAATATCCGAGAAGTATTTTAACAGAGAGTGCTAACCGAAATCCGAAGGTGCATTGTGATTGTAAAATATGCCTTTAAAAAGCTGAGTAAAGTATTAAGAAACAAGAAGATTTCGACAGAAACAGAGAAAAGAATACTGAAATATTATGCAATTGCCTATATGGCAATGAATGCTAGACAATCTCCTCATAGGTGAAGAAGAGACTTGAAGTAATAATAACGTGAATCTACTGAAGGATGCTGAGGCTACAATGGATTGAACATGTGAGAAATGACGGAAACTTAGAAACAAAAAGAAACTTATACTTATCATCAGGAAACAGTTGAAATTTTCAAGGTACATAATTGCTATGGCCTGTTTAGGGTCCAGAAAGAAAGACACGGAAAACGAAAGTAGGATGAACAATTATATTGAAGATATATATACAAAGCAAGAGTGTTAGTAATAAGTAGAGAGTAGTGTACGTCCGAACGGTAAGTTAGCACTGCGTCTACTACTCTATATTTAACAGCCCCCACCCCAACCCCGAGGGCTGTACGTGGTACAAGGCCGGGTTTATCGTGGGTTCTCCGATCCTGTAGGCTCGGCCAAAAATATTCCCTTAGAACCCGTATAATCGGGTTCAGAGTTTGTCTACCACCGGTAAAGTAGAGAGTTCGATAGAAGTAGCACACAGTCAGAGACTGCGTGGACGTCTCTATATTGAACAGCACCCCACCACGTGGGATGTATGTGGCACAAGGCCGAGTTTAAAGTGGGTTTCTCCGAGCCCGTAGGCTCGGCCAAAATTATTCCCTTAGAACCCACAAAAGCGGGTTTGGGATCTGTCTAACTTCCCGGACGAAACTCCGCCCTTCGGTATAGCTTCGTTCGGGTTCCTCTCTGCCATAGTAGAGAGTTGACAGAAGTCGCACACAATCAGAGACTGCGCGTAATTCTCCGCTCAACCGACTCACGCAGTTAGTATTTATGAGAGGATGAAGAGTTCATTCTACTGTAGGGGGGTTTACCACAACAACAATAATGAACAAGTGCTTGGTAAATTTTACACTTGTAAGACACTTTGAATGCACTAGGAACAGATGAAAACTGCGCAGGAAATTGTGGGGAGCCATGTTCACCATCGGCCTGAATGGACACAGCACATAGAACAAGAACAAATAGACTTCTGTCTCCACCTATTCATCGTTTTCGTTCCTTTTCGTCTAAATTTGCTAATATATATATTTATCTAAATTTGCTCATATCTATCTAAATTTGCTCATATCTATATTATATTATTTACATTATTCGAAATGTCGTCCTCATCTTTATTGCCATATTCACAACGTTTCGGCCTTTATAAGCTCCACCCTTCTTCAGGTGATTGGAATTTCGAACTGAACAATTTATTTCGTCCACCGGGGTAGAACGTCCTCAAGGACACATAGTCGAGTGGATAAAAGGCGCTGGTTAGATCCAGTAACTAGAACCAAAGAATTGTGAGTTCAATACCAGGCTATAGCAGTGGTGAACCAAAAAACATGGGAGTTTAGTTAAAGGGAAATAACTGAGACAGCCGGAAGAGGCATGGAATGTAGAACGAGAACAGTCTGCCCTGGTTGACCAAATAAATGTTTTGTTTCGAAATTCCAATCACCTGAAGAATACTGAAAAGTAGTGAATGTGTCAATGACGACGGTGCCTTTACCCTCGAGGACATAGGCGATCATGGCTCTCCACTTCACCCTATCCCTTTTAGTTCTCAATATGTTTTTTCCTATTGCTGCTTCTTCTAAACTCCGTTTCGTCATCCACTTGCTTAAGCCCGCTAGGTATATAACGCGTTGATTTTCCTTGTCTCTCTTTCACTCTATCCGCCCTGTGTGTATCAGATTCCCCAAGCCCTCCTATCTCATTACGTGTCCCAGAAATTGTAGCTGCCTCTTCCTGATGTTATGTATAAGGTTCACCCTCATTTACATCCTCTCCAAAACCTCATCGTTCTTTACATGTTTTAATCCATAGTCCGAATAATGTAAATTATATAAGTAATCAGAACTCATCTCAGATGTATAGACAGATTATCTATCTATCTATCTATCTATCTATCTATCTATCTATCTATCTATCTATCTAAATGTGTTCATATCTCTCTATCTATCGCCGTCGATGAACGACCGCTTTGAAAATTTCACACTCGTAGGACAGGTTAAATGCAAGATGAACAGATGAAAATCTAACGAATTTGAGTGAATGGTTGGTATATCAGGGTTGATGTGAGATAACAAAAAGACAAAAAAAAAAGCTACAAAACACAGGAAATTGTGGCGAGCCATGATCGCCAACGTCCTGAATGGACACGGCAAATAGAGCAAGAAGAAAATAGACTTCTGTTTTCACTTATTCATTTTTAGGCTTCTTTTCGTCTTCTTTTCACCTTTTCATGCTTCATTATTTTTTTCAGGACTTTTATCTTTCATTGTTTCGTAAACTATCGTTTTCTTTCTTTATATCCGCTAAACAGTTTCCTTTCACCATATTCCTCTTTAAGTCCAGTGTTTCCATTCTTCATTGTTGTCCATTTAATTTTGTTATTTTTAGTACGCTTTGTAAAGTTCTCGTCGCATTTGTCTACCATTCTTCTATGTCTAGTTTTATCCACTTCTACTGATTCTTAGCTTATTATGCTATATTTTCTGTCATTTCAATTTTGTTGTCCTATTCATTTCGTTATGTTTGCTTCCATTTCGTCATTCACTTATTTTATTTCTTCTTCTGATTAGCTATCTATCTAGGAATCTAGCAAAATTTACTCACATCTATCTCTATATCTATTTTGCTATAAATCTCAATCTGTTTATATCTATTTCCTTATCTCAATTTTCTCAGTATGTTCATATGTATCGCCCTCTCTCAATTTGCTAATATCTATCTATCTATCTATCTATCTATCTATCTATCTATCTATCTATCTATTCCAGTCTGTCCGACTATCTATCTATCTATTCCAGTCTGTCCGTCTATCTATCTATCTATCTATCTATCTATCTATCTATCTATCTATCTATCTATCTAGATTTGACCATATCTCTCTAAATTTAATCATATCCTTTTATCTATTTACCTATATATAAAAAATGTCTCATATCTATCTAAATATGTACATATCTCTGTAGCCATCTAGCTATATGTCTATAAGTATATTCATATATATCTCCCTCTCTCATCTTGCTAATATCTATCTATCTATCTATCTATCTATCTATCTATCTATCTATCTATCTATATTTGACCATATCTCTCTAAATTTAATCATATCCTTTCATCTATGTACCTATATATCAAAATTTGCTCATATCTATCTATCTATCTATCTATCTATCTATCTATCTAAATATGTTCATATCTCCGTAGCCATCTAGCTCTTTGTCTCTAAGTATGTTCATCGTCTCATCTTACTGATATCTATCTATCTATCTATCTATCTATCTATCTATCTATCTATCTATCTATCTATCTATCTAAATTACGTTCATAACTATCTATATGCGTTGTTTGTGTGTGTGTGCGTGTATGTGTAAAAGCTAGTGCTGAAAGTTTAAACTACCTGTGAACCGAAAAATATTTTACAGCACCTCCATCTTTCTTGTTAACAACGTTTCTGGCGTTTTATCCTCCGGCTTTCTTCAGGTGTCACTTTTCATAACATTCTTGGAACTTTGAATCGAACCCTTTATACATACAGTCCAAGGGTGTAGATTGTTTTCATTCTACTCTCAATGCTTAGAGCATATCAGTTAATAATCACCAGTCTTATTTCACCTGAAGAAGGCCTGAGGGCACAACAGCCGGAACGTTGTTACGGAATTAATTAATATCAACATGTCAGTGTAAATAGCAGAAGAAACCTTTTGCGATCAGTTATTTTAAAATTTGAAAATATGGGAAAGTACTTCGACGAAATCATGGAATAAAATCTAAAATTGAACTGAAACAAAGAAATAGTTATAACTAGCATCATGGCCCGGCGTTGCCCGTGCTTGATTTAAAAATCTTACGATTCATACAGCAGCCGCTATCACTTGACGTAAAATATTTTTGCCCTTCCTTGCTTTAAAGCAGTGCCCTTTGCCGTGCTGATGTTGCTACATGCTTTACTTCTTGCCTATCTCACACTGCGAATTTTTTCTAAGCTCTACACTAAACATTGAATCTGTTACGAGAAAAGAACTAAACAAAATGAACACAAAACGATCAGCTTTAAAAAAGGACTCGTAACTGGAAAAACCGAATGAAAAAAGAATGTTAACAACAAATACTTTTTCACACCCAACACAGTTTTGCGGAATCAGAATCAACGTTGAGTTTAAGCAAGCGAATGAGCCAATTAGAGTAAAGTGCCATGCAGATTTAAATTTTCCCACTTGTGACGAATGCAGCTATCGATATTTTTTGCATGCTAGCGTGCTAGTTAACATTCATGTCAGTCAGCTGTTGGATCTCACGCTGGCCAACAGAATCTTCCTGCCTATTCGTGGCAGCCAGCTATAGGCTCTCACTCTGGCCAGTAGAAAATGGCCGCGAACTACATGAAAACTGCTGTAGGAACATGAAAAAATCGATTATTTCCACTATCGTTGGGAGTCGGGAAATGCCAAGTAGGTCTTGGCCTTCCCACTAACTTGGAGCATGTGCATGTAAATTTTGGTGCAAATCCGTCGAAAATTGCGGCCGTGCATTCGTTACACACACACAAACACACACACACACACACACACACATCCTGCCTTTTATAGAGATCATGATTTATTAATTTAGATGAAATGTGTAAGGAAATGTTTTTAAAAAATTCGCATAAAAAAAGTTTGATGAATGAATAAGGATGTTATGATATTATATAGACAAAGGAATATTTTTTAAAAAATCTTCAGGAAAGATTTGTTTCGTGAAAGATGCTGCGATGTCAAAGACTTGGAAGAACAGTTTAATGACGGAAAAATTTTTCTCTGAATTTATATGGATAAAAGTTTTTGAATTGTGATTAAATATTGATCAAAATCCGACAGAATGATAGGATAATGAACAAATAGGAAACTTTTGTCAGTCTAAAATGTTTCCTTTTTAATAAAAACGAAACATTTTAGATTTCAAGTGACACCTGAAGAAAGCTTCACCAGTGAATGAGATATGGGAAAAAATATATGAATAAAAGTTTGCTAAATATATCACAATTTTTGTAACAACTTGAAAATTAAAAAACCTGGAATATATTTTGAATTCTTTATCTTGATTGAGTTTCTTATCCTATTTCTGTCGTTAGAAAAACTGGAATTGTTAGCCAATCGCTGGATCCGATTGTACCGATAAATAATCAGTTACCTCCCCTTAAGTTCTAGGAGGCATAAAACGCACTCTGTAATATCCGTCAATACACAAATAGTCAGAGTAAAGTTTTGGTATAAGTTTATTCACTGATTCTGTTTTTACTATACCGGAATTAATTGTAAAAAGAATCTATACTATAGACATACGATATAAAGTATATATAGCATGAAGAAGAGAAGACATGTTAAAAATTAGTGTCGAAAAGAAAAAAGCCGATGTAAATCGTCCTAATATTTTTCTATCAAAATTTATAAAAAAAAAGGTCGTTGATAAATTGAAGATAGAACAATAAAATGAAATTACCAAGAAATACGAGTTAAACCGTTTTCAACCTAATCCTGATCTATCGTCTCTTTATTAAGAAATAACGAGAAAGACAGATAATATTTTGACTTAAGTAATATCGGTTAGTCTTTGAGAATAAAGGAAATCGTTTTACTTACAATGTTCACAAAACGAAATTCGTCTGTGATAAGAGTCGATTGAAAAGCGTCTCGAAATAAAAAAAACATCGAAAAATCTTCAAACGAAATGACGTGTGATAATAAAATAAGCACATTCCATCTCCGCTCTCGCTTGTAACCATCCACTATAATAAAATAAACGTTTTCAGTGCTAAAGCTGAATTAGTCAAATAAAGTCTCATAATCTTCTTGAGCTGATGCTATATTACATGAAGTATGTGAAATTCTTAGAATATCGAAACACTTGTTTGAAAAAGGTGTCACCAAGATTGGATTATCAATGGCAGAATCCGGTTACAGCGTCAATATTGCTGCATGACCATTCTCGATTGTAAACAAAACACGCTGTCCAATTCCACATGCCAGTCTTAGTGAGGTGCGTCCAAAGCAAACATATTCTGGTATGTAGAAAGAATAAAATACAACTTCCACGGAAGAAAGGAGCTCCATCGTCTTCAATGGAAAACTCCAAACTCCGACCCCTCCCTCAAAATCAGAGAGACCTGGAAACACTAATCCTGACACCGCTGAAACAATCCCAATCAAAACCGGGGACTCAGGTGGCCACCCACACCCATAAGCGAAAAAACAGGACAGCCGTCTACTATTATTAATTTACTTTCCATTGTTATTGTTTTAACTTTTAAAATAATCAATGGTCCTTTTTAATGAGGGTTGGTCGAAAAGCTGTCCGGCGGACTTGCAAAATGATTTCTTAATCGTGTGTATGACGAGAAACTACATCTGGCACCAAGGCCTTTAATCGGGAGATTGAAGGTTTTGAGGAGCTAGGAACCGCCTATTATTTGCTGATGTTCCCACTTCCATTCTGACATGGGGTTCTAATTCTTGTTATAGTCCCAACTATGTGCAAATAGTGAACATTTAATAAAAAAGAAAACACTATGAAAGTTTAAAAACACAATTTTATAGTAAAAATAGCAGCAATATATTTTATATAAAACAATTTGCAACACTACATATTTATAGTACAATTAACGAAACATAGTTTTAAACCAAAATGAGAAGCAATACATTTTATAGTAAAATGATCATCAATACATCTGATCTGTAGTTAAAGTATATAATTGCGTTTAAAATGTATTTAGTTGTAGCCATATAATTGTGCTCAAGATCTTTAACTTGCGGCATTAAATAACACACTTATGTTGATATGACACCAAACAAAATCAACCAAATATTTTTTTATTTGATAGTAATTTTAAAATTTCTCTGCTTCTTCCTGATATTGTTACGTGGATGGGTGGAAAAGTCCATAGGATTTGTATGAATGTGCAATGCCCGAGCTGTGAAATCTTGCATGCATTACTTTTAAATCTTGGTAATAGCTGCGTTGTTTCTTTCAAGGTAAACTGACATCTGGCCATCCAAAGAAGACTGTTCATCCAGTTGGTCAAATAAGTCATCAACAGGAGATATGGCGTCATCATTACTGTGATGCTGGTTTTCCAGCTAAGTGTTTTTTCATGTTGGGGAACAGATGATAGTCCCATCAGAATAGAGAGGGTGATCAATCAGTTCAAAGTCACTGTCACGCACATGCAGCCATTGAAACCAAGGATCTGTGAGCTGCAGCATTGTCCGGATGAAACACGACCCCTTCCTCAATTTTCCTGGTCGTTTGGTCTTGATAACCTTTTGTAAATGCTTCAGCATGTTAACATATTACTTTCCATTAATCTTGTGACCCTTTTGAAGATAACAAAAACACAATACCATTAGCATCACGAAAAAATGAGTTCGTCATCTTCCCTGCAGATGAAACGACCATTGCATCCTTTTCGCAGGTGAGGAGGTGTGTTTCAAATCCAAAGATTATCTCTTTTTCTCCGGCTCAGAATCATCTTAGGTTAGAAAAACTCAAGAAAACAAGCTTGATGTACGTCAAACAATGTCAGAAGTCCTCGTCATGCCAAGTTCATTGTGTAGAATAGACTCAACGCACTCACATGATATGCTATTTGATTTATAGTCAATCGCCTGTCTTTCATCACCATATGGTGAAAACTACCTATCTTTTCTTCGGTGGTGGCAGTTGTAGGACGTCCAGACCGTGGGTCAACTTAAAGACTCTTCCTTCCCTCCGAGATTCAGATGTCCACATTTGCACTGTTGATAAAATTACAGCCTCGTCCTCTGATGTAGCAACCATGTCAGCATGAATGTGCTTATAGTTTAAGCCCTTGATGACATCACGATGCCAAAT